GACACCGCCGCGCCGGCCCGCGAGAGCGTCCCGCTGCCCTCGGAGCCGGCGCCGTGGCTCGCGGTCCCACCCCGGAGGAGAGCCAGCAGCGACACGGAGCAGTTTTCAGGAAAATGTCTTTATTCGGCTACACAGAAGAGGTGTAAGAGGGGAGCAGAGCTGCCCCCCGCGGGGGCAGCGTTAGTATTTGCTGGGAAGGCCCGCAGGTCTGTAGCGGTTGGGATCCCCGCCGTTTCTGCCCCACGCATTCGCCTCCTGGTCAGCCCGGGTGTCCTCTGCACCTCTGCCACTCACGTCGCTTTGCCACTTTTCCCGGGCGTCACTAGCAGGAAGCAAAAAGGCCGCCTGAACCAAGCAGCTTTTAACTCTACTTCGTGCTGATCACCTCACGTCAAACTAGCTTTTCCACGGGACTTGTCAAAGTGAGATGCAAGCACATATTCAGTCCTTGCCTGAGCACCACAGTGGAATCTGTAACTGTTACGGAAACGAACCAGCAAGGACAGAGAGTTCCTTATCAGAAGAAATGCAGAGGTAAGGAATCTACCCTCTTGGGAGGACAAGAAGAAAGGCTGATGTGGGAGGAGAGCCACTGTTCTATAGAGAGGCTGTTCAGACATTAACTGCAACCCCTCCCCTCCACTGTCCTTCTAGGTCAAAAGCTGAATACAAGTCAAAAAGGACTTTGTGCCAACTGCAGTGCCTGCATCCCTAGTAACTCACTGTTAACAAGACAAATATGCTCCATTACCTGATCACTTTAGCTGCCCAAGCACCGCCAGGTCCTCTTTGGGCAGCATCATAATTCCCACGAGCATGGAAATATTTGTCAGCACCTTTATAATTTGCTTCACGCATGTCCTGATATGCTCTGTACATATCCCGTGCCCCTGAAGCAAGCAAGAGAAACAGATGATGTTGACTTTGAAGAGTCATCCCAGAAATTACCATTTTACCAAAAGTACCATTTCAGCCAGGAGCTGAAGGGCCCAAGGAGCAGTAACACAGACAAGCCCTTCTCCACATCGGCCCTTAGACAGGGCTGTGCCCACGTAAAGGGCCTGCGGGGGCTGATCAAGGCCCAGTTCCAGCAGCAGAAACCAGCAGGGTCCCTAATGTGGAGTTGCAGACCTCTTGGCTCTGAGGACCACGTCCACCGACTGCTGGCAACTTGTGCTCAGGGAAGGGGTTCCTGAGAAAAAGGCCCGTGGTGACCCCAGCTTACCTCCCAGTGCATCCAAGACAAATTTTCCACCTTCACGTAGTGGTGACATGTCAACACTTGCACACAGAAGGGAGAGCAACACAAGGCAGACACAGAGCCTCATGGTTCCCGTTCCTGGCCCAAGCCTGACACAAAGCTGTAAGACAGAGAGATGAGCAGTTCTGGAGCACCTTTGAGAGACTGCTGACATCCATCACACCCACAGCTGTGCCCGGGCAGCTGCCCCAGCGCTGATGGCAGCCCAGGAACCCGCTGCTCCCCCAACAAGGAGGGATGTCCTCTGTGCGACCACAAGCTCATGAGCACAGAGAAGCCCCACATGCTAAAGCATTAGTCCTGTTCCCAAATACCAGCTAAAAACACTGCATATAGCTCACAAATTCAGAATATCACTCACCACTGCAGAGAGGCAAAGCCAAAGGAGATGGAGCTTGTCTTATGTGCTCTCTGAGAGGGTATTTATAAGCAATTCAAACCCCTCAAAAGAGGAAATTGGAAAGGATACCCATGGCTGGGAATTCCCCCCCACCACTCCACTTACAACACAGAAATCATTACAGTAAGCCTGTCCTTATCCTTACTGAAAGTTCAAAACTCTTGTTTACACAATTTTTTAGAAAGTATGTGGTGCCTACTCAGGTCTCCACAGGACTATTTGCTCTTCATAACAATCAGGCTGAGAAACTGCCTCCAAGACTGAAATGTTCTGTGCGCTTGAAGTGTTACAGTTGGCTTAAGGGTGACACTTTTGTTCTGCTCTTGTGCTGGACAGAGCTCGAAGGAGAAGGAGCCTCATCATCCCTCCTGTACATTGAAGCACAAGGTCGGGTCTGTGTCTGGGCACAAGGAACAGTCAGCTGTGTTAACAGAACAGCTGCAGGAACTGCTAAGTGGAATTCCCACGAGTGCTGGGATGACAAGATGGATCCCAGAGTTGATGGAATGGAAAACATGAAGCATTGCTTTTAACTCTGTTGCAAAGCAAACTGCATACACCAGTGTCCCTGCTGATAATGCTTTAAGACAGCACACACACATGCCACTGTAAGGAAGGCCTGAATGGTTTGTCCTGCCTTTGCTTGTTCTCACAGACACTTCTCGAGGGACTTCCAGCCATCCTGTTGCAACAGCAGCTCAGTGGGGCTCAAGTGGGCTAACCTAAGGAGACTTTTTGATGCAGCAGTAAACATTTTACCTAAGGGAAAGTTCAGATCCATACAGACACAACTGTGCTAGATTTTAAGATTGATATATTAACTGTCAGGCCTTACTGTCACAGTTCACAGTTGGAGTACCCACTGTGCTCTCTCTGCTTAGGAGCCTGCTTGTTTCCCTTGGTTAACAGCTGACACCACTATTTCCCCTGCAGAAAGCTCTGGGTTTGAGTGCAGTTGCACTGTAGAATGAATGTGCAGAATGTCTCCCTGTTGTGTGGTCTCATACGTTATTTAACAAGTCCAGGAGAGCTCCTTTAAATTCTCTGCAGAAAGGTATGTGTGGTTGCCCCATTCTTATCTCTCTTTATAAATTGGCTGCTAGAGCTGAAGGGCAGAGGCATGAGATAAAAGAGGTGCAATAACAAAATGAGGTAACAAAATGTCAGCAGTTAACTTCCTTGAGCATCACTGGACTTCAGACAAGAATTTAGCTTAAAGGAAGAAGACACGTTTTCCACAGACAGGCCTGGAGTTGGCAGGACATTCTCTAGTACACTGTGTCTCCAAAGGGAACAATGAGACAAGAATGTAAACCCTAACCCAATGGACAAAGAAATCTTGAAAAAAACAGGTGGCCACATAATTTTTTCCCCCACTGCCCATGAATCTGAAATTTAACAGCTCTGTTACTGTAGAGACTGGAGTGCTGTGTTTTGCTGCAACTCTATGCACATCCTAGTGATGACATGCCCTTAGAGTACACGTCAGCTCATGTGCCTTCTCTGCTGGCCACAAGTAGACCTCTCTGTCACCTTTCTGGTTTTGATTTGGAAAAACAACAACAAAAAAAACCCCTGGAAAATGATTCCTGTAAGCTGGGGCAGGCTCACTAACATATGCCTTTTTGCCCGGGGACCTAGGACAGAGCATTGCCTTCAAAACTGACTTAAGGAACTTTCCTCTACAAGAACTCAGACATTTCAGACCATAGGGGATATTTCTGAGGTTGATGTGTTTCACATTTTCTCCAAATTTTCTGCAAAGAGCAGAAACAGACAGATAATTGCAAGAAAGTAGGTGCTGGAGGGGATCTTTAGATCGGATTGCATCCCCTCGACTTGTCTCTAACAAAGGAGGACAGCAGCAGGGACAACAATGCTGGAGCTCCCTACAGTAACTGAGACAAAGCATCAGCTTTGTGCTCCAGCAAGGAACAGCCCGAGTGCTGCTTTCCTGAATCCACTGCGCCTGCATTCCCCTATCCTCTTGGCCTGCTTTCCAAGTCACAGGCTACAGAAACAAGCTGCTGCCAAAACTGTCGCTTTTGCAACACAAATAGGCAAGCTGCCTCTGAGCACGTAGCAGAGCATGAGTGGAATATTCCTTTCTGGCACAGGGGCTGCGTGTGCACACTGGATAAACATAACACATACAAGGGCACCTGGGAGACCATCGTCCAGGTTTGTACATTCTGATATAGTTAACATAGAAAGCAACCTCAAACGGATTGCCCTTTAATTCTAAAGATCTATAAATGCAAGCAAATTCTGCAAACATACTGCAATGTAGGCATTTTGCAATCTAAGGAAGTCTCAGATTGAGAAAGGGGATGAGGTGAATTCCCAGTTTAGGCACAGTAATACATGCAATTTTCCTTATTCTGGGAAGTAATAGCACCTTATCTAAGTTTACATGGGCAATCATTCACTTCAGGGGTTTTGCCACACTGCTATAGGAAATATTTACTAGCATTAGCCTCATTAGTATGAAGCTTTTATATTTTTTGGGGGGAAAAAAAAAACCAATACAACAAAACCAATACAGCTTCTATTTAAAGTTGCTCCAGGCAAAGCTCTCTTTATTCATCTCTGCTTTTCAAGGGTCCCCTCCACCAACAGCCAGTCACTAAAACCAAAGGTGAGCTGCAGCTCATCTGCTCCAGCACAGGCTGGCTTAAACTATCAGCAGCGTATGCTTAGCTGGCTGACAAGAGCTGGCAGGGGCTGTAGCTTTAGGGTGAGGGTATTGCTCTGTACAACTGTAACTTTTAAACAGAAGACCATTTCATTTCACAGTCCCTTCATCTTACCCATGAGATGAAAATACACATATCAAGAACAGGAAACAGTGATTTTCCAACTCTTCTTCAGAGAGTAATTTCTTACTCTTTATTGACAGCCAAGTTAGTTGAAATCAACACAAGCTCATTTTAGACACTAAATTTGAACAAAATGCTTTCCATGATGTTAGCTATCTGACTGTTCTGACACAAATTTTTTTTTAAAAAAAGCTCTGAATATAGTTACAATTTGTTGTAAAACCCCAGAAAAAACCCAACCCTCACTCAAAGTTAACCAAGTGTACAAAAGACATTGCTGTGTACACAAATTACACAAAGCAAATGTAACGGAACCGTTACGTACATGAGTAAGCCAGGCACATTCTTTGAAAACCAGCCAACTTCCTCCAAGAAGGGCAACACAAGCATTCAGCTAAAGCTGGATGACATTCATACTACAGGAAATGGAGTTAGTTAAAGGCAACAGCCAGGGAGGGAGCAGCACGCCTGTTTGGCAGTTAAGAAAGAGAACAGGCTCCAACAGCAGCTGATTTGTGTAACCTCACCAAACACTGCAGGTGCCTGGCTCCAAATCTTACTGTAAGAACATGGGGCGTTTCTGATAGAATGATCAGTGTTGTTTCCAACATCAAAATCCAAACCCCAAAAAATTTTAAGTTTTCTGTTTTAGAAGTAGTTCTGTATTGGCTTTTCCACAAGCCACACTGTTAACAGATTAAAGCCTGCCACTAACTGCCTCCCTGTAGCTTCATTTCCTCTATGAAAAGTAACCAATCCTCCACAATAAAGTCCTTCTTGCAACTGAGATAAGTAAGATTACTTAAGTAATCAGACTTCTCAGAAGTCTGAAAGTTGTATTACTAAATCCTATTTTGATGAAAATAAAAGCATTCTTTTGCAGCACAAGTGCTGCAAAAGTGCAGAAAAAGATGCTTTATAAACAAATATTTTCAAGTCATTCCATGACAAGATTATGGATTTAAATAAAGCTTAGTTTCAATGCATGCACTTTTTGTTTAAATGACATTTGTGAAAGCCAAGTATTGACCAGACACCACAGCCTTTTGCTAAGAATGTGAGAGTCTGACAGTGACAGTGAAGAGAGCCAAAACTAGAAGCCTAGAAAAATACATCTTTGAACAAGTTTCAAGTGCAGAAGAAGCACTGGTAGAAAGCATAGTTCTGAAAATAAAGTCCAAGTGACTTTATGAATCTTCATATTCTCTATTTTAAAAGGCTGCACCTCAAATGTTAAGTTTCGGGCCCCTCACTACAGGAAGGACAGAGGTGCTGGAGTGTGTCCAAAGAGCAACGAAGCTGGTGAAGGGTCTGGAGCACAAGTCTTACGAGACGTGGCTGAGGGAACTGGGGGGGGTTAGTCTGGAGAAAAGGATGCTTAAGGGAGACCTTATCGCCCTCTACAACTACGTGACAGGAGGGCATAGGGAGGTGGGTGTCAGTCTCTCCTCCCAAGTAACAAGCGAAAGGATGAGAGGAAACAGCCTCGAGTTGCACCATGGGAGGTTTAGACTGGGTATTTGAAAAAAATTCTTCACCAAAAGGGTTGTCAAGCACTGGAACAGGCTGCCCAGGGAAGTGGTTGAGTCACCACGCCTGGAGGTATTTAAAAGACATGTAGATGTGGTGCTTGGGCATATGGTTTATTGGTGGAATTGGCAGTGTCAGGTTAAGGGTTCAACTTAAAGGTCTTTTCCAACCTAAATGATTCTGTGATTCTATGATTTTAATTCCCCTGTCCTAAGGTTTGTTGAAATATCACAACTGATGTCTGTAGTCATGTTGCACAAATAGATATGGGCAATTTAGAAATATCATGCTTAGATAAGTTCACTTAAGTTCTTCTGTTAATCAGCATTTTTAACCATTAATCCACTCCTGAAAAATATTTCCCTCCTGTTTTAAGAAGGAAATATTTTTGCTCAATTAATGCATTTCAAAGGAGCAAGATGAGTCCATATAATTTAAGAGAAAACAAGTATCAAAACAAGCACTTCTATAGTAACTTGAAAAAGTCAATGTCATTTACAGCACAATTAAACAAATATGGGCTTAGGTATTTCGGAGGAATGGCTTCTCATGTTTGCAAACAACCAACCAGAAGATTTTATACAGCATTATTTAATATGTAGGAGCTCATACAGACTTAGAAAATAAACTCAGGAATTTTCATCTCAGAAATCTGAGAGCTTAAAGGTAAATATTGTACTGTTTTAAGTTCCATAGTTCAAAATTTATCTCCAACAGAATAAGGAAGAACTGTCAACAGTTCCTGGTCAGATACCTTCCAGATGGAAACTGGCTTAATATATTTGAACTTTTAGACAGGAGTTCATTTCTTTAAAGAGTCTGTTAAGTTGAAGAGGCACTTTAATATACAGTCATTTCAGTAAAAATATTCCCAAAGTTTTCCAAGTTGTTTTCTATGCTTGCTGAGACCACAAAAACCGGTCACACCTTTCCAACATGGATTGAATCAGCGCTCTGTAATTAAAGCAAAAGGGGAAAAAAGTCAAACAGTAAAAAAAGCTAACAACAGAAAAAAAACAGTTTTGGTTTGCTTTTTGAAGAAGAGTTTGTCAAAAACATGATTGTATTTCAGAAGTAACATCACGGTATCACCATGCATGCCTTGTCTGGAAAGGGCAGGTGAGATCAGAGCCTCTGCAGGACTCAGCAAAACAGGTATTTCTTTCAGAGAATGTCCTTCACATACACCTGTCACATACAGTTTCCTGTTTCCTTATTTTCCATTTAAAGTGCCTGTGTTGCACAATACATAGCTCTTAATTAACAGAAAAGCTTTCAGCTGAGTTTAAAATCAGAGATAAAAAGTATATTTTATCTTCTTATTCAATGAAAAGAAGATTTAAAGCACCAAGACGATCCCTAATGAAGAGTGTGGACTTTCTGCTGACATACCATCTTACCTTTGCCTTTTCTCAGCAATTCTCAGTATTTCACACACACCAGTGAACCTCTCAGACAATTCTAGTGTCAAGCCACACTCCTGCAAGAGAGGCAAGGCACGATTTGGGCCAATGGCCTTTGCCAGTAGGAGTGCTACATTTTCCACAGTGACGCAGTCTGGGGAGCTGGGGCTACCGTTGCTGACAGCACTCCCGTTCTGTGGGCCATGGTGGTGGAAAGCTGTGCCGTGATTTTGTGCAAGATGCAGAAGAAACTTCCATTCTTCTATAGTCTCTGGAATGGAACCTAGATGTAAAATGTGTTGGTTACAGTATTTGTAAAACAAGGACTACTCTAAGCTACTTTTAAGTAAAGATACTTTTAAAAGGAAGCTGTTCTGGTTTCCTCTGTGAAGATTTAAGAAAACCAAGCATTATCAACGAGAAAATTCTGTACAGAAGTGTACTGCTACAACTGACTCAGTGTAAAGATTCGGTGGTGAACTACACACAAAGCTTCACAATACTTCAGTATTTAAGGCTTTGGTTTAAGTCAAGAGACAAAGAATTGTTTTATCTATCTTAGGGCTAGCAGGAATTTTCTTCTAAGCTCTGCCATGTGATACAATGCTTTGCCCACCATAACTTTGTGTGTGCACATG